GACTAAGAAGGTCTTGGATGGCAATTTTTTCCAGTACAACTCTGATTCATCCATATTGAACACTTGGTCGTCAGTGTACTGTCCTTCCTCCATAATTTTCCGTAAAAATTGGAGAAAATTCATGGCGGCAGCCTGGTCGGCACTTGCTCCTTCTCCGACTATCTCAATATTGGTGATCTTGTTACGTCGTTTGAAACCTTGCAGCCACCCAGCGAAAGCAGTGAAGGGCTTGGGCTCTGCAACTCCCATTTTTCTTGCCACTGATTGGTAGAGTTCTTGGGCGTAGTCCTGCACTGCCCAAGTGTCGACCGCCATGTTCCTTCTTGACTGACCAATGAAGTAACTTTCTAACAAACCCTCGGTCTTCAGCAGCACCATATTGTGCCAATATTTCACCATCAAGGCACCTACAGACTTTGTGATGCTCATGTGTTCTTTGATCTTTGCCGGCATCCTTCTTGATCGTGCGGCTCGTCGATTCATTCACTCTATATTGTCTGGCCAGATCCACCTGCCTCATGCCTTTTTCCAACTCCTGAACAATCTTGTACTTAATCTCATAGCTTGAGGCGCGTCGCACCTTCTTGGGCTTGGGGTGGCTTGGGCCAGGTAGTTCAAGGTTTCTCGGGGGTGGTTGGGGGTCCAGCGGAAGCCATTGTGTAGAAACAAAAAAAACAAAACAGGTTCCTGGGCACGAGGGAGTATACGCGGAGACGGGAGACAATGGGACTGACGCAGTCAAGATCATTGACTCAACCCCCCTGGTAGCAAGGCAAGCAAGGTTAAATAGACCAATCACAGCTCGCGGCGGAGGGGGTGCGTGGGTGGTAAGATACGTGGCCCAATCACAGTCCACGACGTCATCGGCACGAGTTTGACATCAGCGACCAGCAGCTTGCCCGCCGCTTGCCAAGTAAATTAAGGAATGTACCGCGTAACTAATAATTGGCGCGTCTGGACAGGTGCCGCGTAAATGGCCAAACGCGTATAAAATATCCGCGTAAACCCAGACTATACTGTATATAATTTTTTAGTAAAAAAAATTAAAATGGTCAAAACCGCGATAAAAAAACTGCGAAAAACACGGGATTACTGTATTCAGTAATAAACAATAATGAATCTTTTGTACTTATTCATAATAAGATAAATGACGCGGTTTCCTTGAGGACACAAGTATACATTGCCGTTCCGTTATCACTCTCTTATTTCTTTAACATTAGTAGTTACCTTTACTGTACATTGAATATTATTAATTAAAGCATACATATTTTTTTACATTAATTTTACTTCAGCAACAACCAGGGTCTAATTTTCACATGTTTGAGATGGATAACTGACATTATGGGTGTAAACACTGACAACAACAATAGCGTCCCATCTCCTCTTGTGTGATCTTATTATTATTGATATATATTGTATAAGGTGCATTCTTAAACATTACTTAAAGAAGATAGTTTGCACTTTTCATTAGTTGTATTGTTTTGGGGGGAAAAGAGGGTAAAAAGCCACACAAAAGATATGAAAAGGTCACACTTGGGAACACATCTCATTATTATTGCTTTATTTTAATGGTAATTAATGATTCGCGATAAGACGATTCACCTTACACTGCAATATTGGAGGACACATTAACGTCGTTATTCGAGGCTTTTCTGTATATAGAAGCCACTGGTGTTAATAAGCTCAAATTGTTATAGTTTGTATCCCCAAGTCTCTATGTACAGAAGTAAAAGAATTTATTTGAAATACTCTGTAACATTCAATACCATAATATCCTGACCACTGGGATAAGTTATACAGACTTTTCCCTGTGAAAAAGACATAATTTTGAGTACCATGTTACTGTATTCGCATTGTACTAAGCTAAAGGACTAAAAAAATTTATCTCGTGCAAACAATGAGATGTTTATATTCAAATTAATCGCTATCTTGCAAGGATTCCACCGATGCAAGTTATATTCTGCTAAGTCAAAGCCGTAACCTTTTATATGAGAAAAACTGTAAGCCAAAAACAACCTTCATCCCATTATCACCCACTGCCATCTGCCTCCCTGCTAGCTGGGGGTAGGGGAAGGTGGGGTGTTGACAGCCAGGAGGGGAAATTAATGAGTACATAGTTGTCAAGGACTCGATGATTATGAAAGTCAAGGAGTTTTAAGTTTTTTGCTTTTAAAATCTCACTGACTTGACTTAGCTGGTTATAAGCAATTAATTTGAGTACAAACATTCCATAGTTTGCACTAGACATAAAAATTTTAGTAATCATCTCAGTACATTTGAGTACAGGCTGTGATAATTTATGCGGTTGCTCGGCAGTTGTGGTTGCAGTTGCGAAGCTTCGTGACATCACTAGTGTATAATGCGTCTCCTTATGCCCTGGTTTATTCACTGATCAGTTGTGTAAGTGCAAAAGTAGCCAAATCGAGCCATCATATATCAATTAATTTTAAAATAGAAATTATAAAGTAAAATGTTATAAGACAATGGTTTAGTAGTGCTGTTAATGTGTGTGCTGTGTAAGTGTCTTGGCCTGTCACCACACCACCTGACTCATCACCTCACCACCCGACTCGACACCTCACCCTTTGCCTCATTAGCAGAGCTTAGAATAACATTGATTTATTTCTGTATTATTTGACTTTTTTAGTATTGTATGTACAGTCGGCCACAGGATTAAGTATACACACTGTAGCTGTAAGGTCTGAAAATGGTCTGGTAACATTGAAACTGTGCATCGAGGCGCATGATGAAACTCAGCTCCCCCCACCTGTTATCTCTAACTATTTTCTGTTTCCCCTTCTTTATTCTTCTATTTACTCCTCTTCCAACATCAGTGAAAAAAATAAATTAGGGTAAGAGATATAGTGGGGGAGGAGGAGGGAGCTGTACGATAACTGCAATCCCATTTGGCAACAAGTTTACTACCATTTGATACAATATATTACTTGTAATATAAACACAAGGCACTAGTAAAACATTCACATAAATTACAGGTCATTTTGTTATTTTGTCTGTTCTGTTCAGGACAGTGTTACCAGATATTTTGTCTCAAACATGAACCATAGGTGTATACAGTAATATCCTGATTTACGCGGTTCCCGTTTAAGCGTTTCCACATTTACGCGGTACCCCGCCAGAACCGGAATTCCCACTTAATGCGGTGCATCTACTCATATACGCAGGAAGCGGCGCGGGCAGGGTGCGCAAAAGGTCGCCCAGTCATCAAAACATTACTGAGTTCTTCACCCGCCACCCGCCACAGCCGGCCCAAGTCAGTGATAGTGAGGATATGGACTTTGAGGGGTTTGACAAAGAGGCCCTGCAAGCCTCTGTGGTGGATAGTGATACAATTGATACAAGTGATACAGGTGAGGGCCAATAATCTGCCCTCTGCCTCGGAAGCATCCCCGTGTGCCCAGCCATCTTTTCTAGTAATGTAAGTGTTAAAAAACCTAATATTATATATATTTCTCTTAATTATTAATTGTGTGTGCATACCATCATAAAATTAAGATGTTAATTTTACTACAACGTAGGTGTTGTGTCTGAAAAAGTGGAGTTTGGGGGTCAGCCCGGTCTCTATTTCAATTACTCCCATATGTTCCGTTGTTCCATTTACGCGTTTCCCGTTTTACGCGGGCCTCCGCGGGTTCAATTGACCGCGTAAATCGGGGTATTACTGTACTTATTCTTGTGGCCAACTGTACATTTAAAGAAATATTTATATTTGCACAGTAACTATAAATAGATCCAGAACAGAAAAATACAGTGTTACCCAAGCGGTTTGTCTTCACACCCACTCACCAACCATGTGAGGATGCGGCTAAAAACGATGCAGTCTTTCATAACGCAGGGAACTCTCGTTGTAACAATGTCATGGGTGTTTCCCGCCAACCGTGAGCCAATCACAGCGACCTTGTGAGTGTGGCATCATGTACCTAACTGTGCTGATTGGCTGGAGGCTGAGTTCATGCCCCAGCCAGGCAGGCACTTAAAAGTTTCAAACACAATGTCTGGCTCGAGGTATTGAAAGATAAACGGGTTGCGTTGCTCAGAATATATCTCCAGTGAGTACAGTACACCTAATGTTTTATCCATTTCACAAAATGTATTGTGATTCATGTGACCCCTGGTTTGCTAGCTAGGAAGATAGGTTTTTGTTTTGAAAGTGGAACTGTTCATTTTGTGTAACGTCGTTAATAAACGAAGAACCGTTTAGAAGTGTTACAAATTTCCCCCCTTTTGGTGTTGAGTAAAACATTGCCATACCGGGTATATGTCTTTGGTGTTATGCAGTGAGCCATTAGAAATAACAAACTATCGCCTGGTATCCCTGTTCCCAGTTATCACTGTTACCCCATTATTCCCCAATTATTCTTTCTCCCTCTCTGTCCCCTCATATCAGATTACCCTCGGATGTGAGGGCTACCCTAACCACAAACCTGCAGTCTCCCCTCACTCACCACATTCCTTAAGCTCCTAACCCTAACCTCCACCATCTCACAAGTATACAATATAAAGAAGGAAAGAATTAAGAATAAGGAGAGAGAATTGGAGAATAAAGGAGGAGTAAAAGAAAGAATTAAAAAGGAATAAAGAAAACTTATATCATTGTTACATTGTCCTCAGGCCCTGAGCAGAAATGTTTGGAGTGATTTTCTCAGATTTTCCGGTAATTGCGCATTATTTCATAATTGACGTTTGTTCCCAGACCCAGAAATAAAAAATTGGACAATTTTTTTTTTTTTTTTTTTTATGTATTTTTTTTTTCTTCAGAAAATACTCCTGATTTTCAACCTCGGAATTTGTTCCCAAACCCGGAATTTAGGAAAATTTCCAGTTAAATTCTGAGCAAATTTCAATTCTGATTATTGGTAAATTCCAGGTTTGAGAGATTCCGGCTAACAGAGATATTATTACAGTATCTATAATCAGATGGCTGATGCTCACTGCCTCCATTGTCAACAAAGTACAAGATATTCTTTTTTGTTTCCCCACAGGCAAGTGTTTGGGCAAGTCAGTCCAGTGTGTGCCATTGTGGGTGGTGTTATTGCCCAGGAGATCATCAAAGCTGTATCTCGGAAAGATCCGCCCCACAACAACTTCTTCTTCTTCTCCACGTTAGATGGTGCTGGTGTTGTTGAGTGCATTGGACATTGAGAAAGTCTTTGAGTAAGAAAATAGAAATTCCCATTATCAACAATTAATGTCAATAAATGAATGCTGAAGATTTCCTTTATTTAATGTGTTTTAAAGACTTGATAAAACATTAAATGCCACACTCTTTTGAAGTTTTCACCACATATTTTATCAATAGTAAAACAGGTCTTTTGAAAAGAGCTTAAGTGACAGGTTATCTGATGCATTACACTTTGCAAGAAGTTAAGCTTGTTTATACAAATTTAATTCTTCTGAGTTTGTAAGATTTAGAGCTATGTTTTGTACGTCAGGTGTTTGTAGCACTTTCATGATATGTGTAAACTGCATGAATTAGATTGTACCTATTGTTAATGAGATCTTAATGTAATTATTATCTAAATGTTAATTATTAGGGATGCACCAGAACCATAATTTCAAGTTCCAGCAGAAATCAGAACTTTCCGGAACTTATAAAATGTTCCGGCCAGACCAGACCTTAGGGTGTTTTAGCTATTATTATTTTTATTTTCATTTTCAAGTTGTTTTAAGTAAAGTACATGACATTCAGAAATTTTAGTTCTGTAAGTTAAGATATTATTGGTCTATGATAATTTTTTCAGTCATTTGTCAAACAGGCTATAAATAAAAAGGTATGGGTTACTTATTGTTTACTTAATGTCATGATACCTAAACAGAGGGCTACAGCATTATTCAAAGGTGAATTACACATGCTTGCTAGATAACATGCATCCTTATATTAATGATACCTTCAACGTTGTTTTTGTGTGGTGGGAGCTTTGTTTTTTGTCGAAAAACAGGGTCTTTCCAGGAGTACCCAGTCTGATTTCTACGAAATTTGATGCGTGAGTGTCGTGACCAGTACAATATCAATTTGTCAAGTTACTGGTGAATCTGTGACTACCACATACGGTGTAGGCCCACCAAGCTCCCCTCAGTGCCACGGCTTGTAATCTGACCCCTGTCCACCCTCCCCCACCGTCCCACCAGGCCACCCAGCTGACCACACAACTAGACCATATCCCTACTGCCAGCTATTCAGCCCTCACTAGCTCCATTATGTCTAAGTTGACTGCTCGTATCAAACATTCAACTTCACGAAAAACAGCTGACTGATGTGATAATTGAAGTCCAACGGCCTCTCATACAGGACATCATACAACAAATGAACAAGGAGACCATCAGGAAGCTAGAAGAGGCTGACCGGCATCTCACTGACCAGCTAAGTGAGATTAAAAGAAGCTTGGAATTCTCGCAAAAGGAAATAAGTGACTTATAAGCAAAGATGAACGTTGAAGCTAAAGAGAACCGAACACTCAAGACCCAAGTTCAACAGTTGAGTAAGGAGAATTCCAAGCTCAAAACAGAACTAACGACAACAGCATAGGACGGTGAAACAACTTTAGGTTTGCCAGAGTTGCCGAAGATGCCCATGAGAACTGTGAGTCATCCCAGCGTGCAAAATTTCATGTCTGCTGAATGACCATTTTAAACTTCCTGAAGTAAAATTTGACCGTGTTCAACGTGTCTGGAACCCAACTCTGCCCCCCCGACATCATAACAAAATTCTCATCCCCCTCTGACCGTGACAAAATGTTTTATCAACGCAGTATGCTGAAAGGCACCACTATCTTCGTCAACAAGGACCTCTGCCCAGGTACGACTAAACCAGCCTACAGCAAATGGACCAGTTTACAGAAGTCAGGAAACAAGGGAAACACGTAACGTTCAGTCATAAAACCCTTGTTGTGAAGGATTGGGTAAGTGGACACCCGCCCACTCACCCACCGCTGTACCCAAGCCCTTCGAGAACCCCCTCCCCACTGAGAGGGAACCAGTCACTGTTGCTATCACTTGAGGAGTTTCCCCCCACCCCTGCCGGCCAACTCAGGTACTACACGTTTACCCTCTGTGGTGGAAACCAGCAACCCTCAACAGTTCCAGTCATCTTAATTCTGTTGGTTGTAGCACTTGTGAGTACGTTACCCCCACTATTATAACTTTCTTGGATCTTCCTTTTTCACACCTCTGTGACCCTGAGTTTTTACTGTTCCTTAATCAGTATCAATGTTCCCACAATGATGATGCTAGTGTCATTCCCTTAGATGTGCTAGATCGTATGTGTTACACCCCCTTTACCCATGGTGTCGACACAATACTCCCTCATATCGATCCTGATGCCTTTCCACAAAACTCATTGGGTTACACCAACCCCAACTGTAACTATTACTTTCCTGACTCTCCCGAGTTTAGTTCTTGTCTTCTACTACCTCATTCCTTCTCCTTGATTAGCCATAACATCAGCAGTATTCCCCTTCATCTACATACCTTTTTAGATCAGTGTATATCTTCTATTGGCCACACATTTGATGTACTTGGGTTCTGTGATACCAAACTTGCTAACAATATTAAACATTTGTATAACATTCCTAAATATAATAGACACTGCGTCAACACATCACGACTCAGTGGTGGTGTCGCCCTATATGTTGATATCAAGTATAACACTTCTGTAAGAGATGTTCAGGAGGAGTACATGGAGAGAGTTTTCACTGAATTACTTAACGACACACGAAATATCCTATTAGGAGTAATCTACAGAAGACCCCACACTAATGTAAGAAATTTTGTTGATAAATTTTCGGAGCTTATCTCTAACATAAGTTCAGAGAGGAAACTTTACTACATTACAGGAGATTTCAACCTTGATCTATTAAAATCAGAAACCGACACCTCAGTATTAGACCTTCTTGCTACCTGTCATTCTAAGCTCTTCTTCAACACTATAACCAAATCCACTAGAGTAACTGCCACCTCTGCCACTGTGATAGATCATATCTGGACTAACAACACTCCTAACAACCTAGCAAGTGGAATTATTTATAACAATATCTCAGATCACTTCCCAGTTTTTGCCATGTATAAAACAGCCACAAGACCTGATAGGTCTAGTAGAGTCTCAGTACAATACAGAGACTACTGCACCGACAACATGCTCCTTTTTAAAACAACGTAATGAATGCTAGCTGGGATCTTGTCTATGCCGCTGACAACCCTAACGTGAACAACAGCAACTTCTCTTGCATCTTCAATGCTTGCTTTGATAAATGCTTCCCGCTCAAGACTAAGTCAGTGAAAACTGTATCCATTTCCAAATCCTATATCACAAGCAAAAATAAGATAATGATAAAATAAAAATAAACTCCAAAGAAAATTTGCAAAAAGATCCATAACTTTCAGTGATGCTTACCAAAGTATCAGAAATGGAGTAACTCGAGCAATTAGAAATGCCAGACATAGCTATTATACAAATAAGCTCCAGTCAGCATCAGGCGATGGTAAGAAAACCTGGATTGTCATAAATTCTATCCAGAACAGGAACACTCAGCTGCAACGGAACCCTCCCTCATTACCAACCACTTCAATGAATATTTTATTAATGTTGGCAAAAATCTTGCAGAGAATATCCCTGATCAACATGAGGAATTTAGAGCCTACCTGCAAAACAGACAGCAAAATTAGCAGTTCTTATCCCCTGTCACAGCAGATGAATTACTGGCCATCATAAAAATGTCCAAAGATGCAGCAACAGGCGAAGACAATATACCAATGAGCATCATTAAGAAAGTAACCCACTTATTATTACCTGTTCTCCTACGCATTTGTAACTCCTCCTTCACTAGTGGTGTCTTTCCGGCTAAATTGAAAATTGCTAAAGTTTACCCAGCATATGAAAAATCTGGGGACAAAGGTCTCTTCAAGAATTACCGCCCCATATCAGTCCTCCCAGCCTTGAGTAAGATACTGGAGAAGCCAGCATGTAATAGACTAAATTCCTTCTGCAATGCCAATAACATCTTTACAGACTCTCAGTTTGGATTTAGAGCTAGAAGGTTGACTGAGAGTGCACTGCTATCCTTTACTAATGACATCTTAAATAACTTTGATGACAGTCAGTTCACAGTTGGTACATTCTTGGACCTCTCTAAAGCCTTCGATACTGTCGACCATACCATCCTCCTTTCAAAGCTTGAACATTACGGCATTAGGGGCCTGTCTCACAATTGGTTTACCTCATATCTGTCCAACAAGATGCAGTATGTCTGCTATAAGAATCACCAATCTAACTCCTCGCCAATCTTGTATGGCGTCCCCCAACGTTCCATTCTCGGTCCAGTACTGTTTTTGTTGTATATAAACGACACAGTCCACGCCAGCACACTCATAAAATACAATTATTTGCAGACTATAGTAATCTCAATGCCAGCAACTCAGGTCTCCATTCCTCGACGAGAACTATGAACACTGAATTGACTAAAGTCAGGACCTGGGTAATATGTAATAAACTGACCTTAAACCCTGAGAAAACCCACTACACGATCTTTCACAGAAGGAAAAAACTTACCCACAGACTTGGACCCCCTGTACCTTGGTAATACATGTCACCTTTGATACAGTCATAGATTGATTGATAGTTGAAATCGTCACAGCTGTGCTGGGTTGTACTTGTATTTATCTTAGCGTATAAGTTAAACAAGACACACAGGTAATGTTCTCTTCACTCGTTCCTTGGTTTAATGTAAACACACGTAGTGATTTTCTAGTTATATTGGGTAGTAATATCTGTACAATTGTTTGGTATGGACAGACTAATGAGCATTAGCTATTAGCTTGTGATTAGCTGATATATTTAGAGAGAGGTACAGGCTGGAGAGCTGGTCTCACAACATGACTTCAAGGCATCGTGTCAGGCTGTGAACTGGGCTGAACTCTCTTGAGTCTGGTGACCGGTGGTTGGAGAGTAACCACACTTCAACACGGCCATTAACTAAACAGCCTACCCACACACTAAGGATTGAGTCTGTAGTTTTATGAGCTGTACACCCGAGAAGGTGTGAAAGAACAAATGTTAATGGGCTGTCCACCCTAGGAAGTGTGACAGACCAAATGCTTAGGTAGCTGTATGCTCAATAGTGTGGGTGATAGAATGTATATAATGAATATATTTTATTAGCTCATATTTATATAATATTAATGTGACAGAGTCCAATACATCGCTCAGCTACCACCCACCAAGTTCCACGCTGTGTAATATCCACGCAGATAAGCCCTATGTGTATCTAACCTTGATATAATGAATGTGTACCTTAGCTAAACTGAGATCTTCAACCTTTATGTAAATGGTGGTCGAGATTCAATGAGACTTGCCTACAGTTCCTTTCTAAATTGTGCTTCTGCACGAACCAAAGATACTTGTACACTGATAACACAAATGGTAAGGTCGGTATCACAAAGCTTGAGTTTACAAATCTTAAGATAATAAAAATGAATAATAATTGCTAAGTATGCAAAAATATGTTTCACTTATATAAGAATTTTTCATTTTTTTATTAGAACTTATAGTGAGTTTACTGAACATTGACTATTGGTTTTATGTAGTATTTATAAATCATGAATTCAAGTTCACGCAGAAAAGTTAAATGTTCATGGGTTGGCAACGTTTTTTAGGGAAATGGCTAGCAACTTTACAATAGTCTGGCCTCATCTAGAAACCCTTTACTTACTCTTATCCTGACACAGCAAAATTAATCTGTTCTGTGTAGGAAAAATATAAATGAAAATACTGAACATTATGAAGGTGT